GGTATGTGTTCGCTCACCTCCCGATCTACTGAGCCGACCTGTGACAGTCCCATTGTCACAGGTCGGCTAGAACTATGAGGTAAATGAATAGCACTCACCTCATAGTTCTCCTTTTAGTAGTCATCAGAGACTTGACAAATGTCTGAAATTTAATGTAGTTTTATCATTTGCTTTCCCGGAACAAAAGCCACATTCTCTGCTAGTTTGAGAAAAGGTTTCCATCATGCTTTATTTTATTTTTAATCACTACAGTTGAAAACAATTGCTGATTTGACCCCATTAGCTATTACAAAATCAACAAAACTTTCTGAAAAATGTTTTGAAATAAAACTACTGGTGTATGAGCATCCATCTTTAGGCAAAAAAAAGGAGTGACCACACTTCTGAAATGAAGACACATCCTCCTTTGTTTTGATGGGATATAGTCTCCTGCTCAGTGTATACGCCAATTCTGTTCACAGACATAAAACCAACCCCAGACACGTGCTGCAAGACCGTTTCCAAGCACTTGCCCAGTGTACATTCCAGCCTTCTGTTGGAAGTTTGTTTTTTCCCCCCGATGAATTATTAGGACCAGAGAAGGATAATGCTGTAGTCATCAATGCACACAAGGAAATCTGTACTGTGAGCACTTTCAATCAGGGACCCCTGATTGAAAATGCTAGTTGCCTGGTGTTGATGCTATGAGAACTAGTCAAAGCTCCAAAACCATTTTGCATTTTCACTCGGTTACTTAAGCCATGTGGTCAGCAATGGCAGCCTCAGTACTTCCTCACTACAGGTCTTCATTCATTCTTGGTGTTTTTCTTGTATGGCAAGATTGATTCTGATTTCCCAGCAAGCTGACATAAACAAACAAGCACTAGGACTGTCCCAGTTTCTTATAGGGACTTGGCAACTAAAGCTCGTCATACACCTATAGATTATCTGCAGATTTTCTAATTTTTTTCTTTTCTATCTGGCAAAGTATTTGTTTTTCTGTCCATCCAGTTCTGAGATTTAGAAAGGATAGCTGAATAAGAAGTTGGAGTGGGAGGTAACATAAGCATCTTGCATGCACTATGGTGGAATTCAAAGGACAACCTAAGATGATAGCATAGCTCTTTATAGTGCAAGATACCAGCTGGTAGGTAATGTGAGGCCACAGGCCAATGCCTTTAGGGCAAAATAAAATGCATTGGCATTAATAGGCCAGTTTTCATTATAACATACAATGGCATTTTGAGTGTTGTAGATCACCTTTTACCATGTCTACGTGTTGGCCAACTGCCAGGCATGCAAATAAAGATACATTAAAAGGAACTTAACTCTGGAACCTGTGTTAAAAAAAAAAAAATCAGGGCGAAAGACTACTCCACAGCTTTGCCTGTGATCTCCCAGTAGCTGATCTTTTCCCCATTACTGACTTGCCATTCCTTGTTCTGTGCTGGCTCTGTGGGAAAACAGCCATTTTGGGAGGGACAGAGATTTGCCGCCTCATGTCAGAGCCTCTCATTATGAGACCCATGAGCAGAACACTAGTGGGATCACTAAATCTCCCAAGACCAGCAGTGTCTTACACTTTGGATATACAGCTAAGAGGCTACTTGGGTGCCTTTTTTTGAGTTCAGTTCCACTTTAATGCTTGGCAATTTCATGTAGCTGAACAGCATTGCTCAAACTCTCTTCTGGGTAATTACATGACGTGAGAGAAAGTGTCCTGATGCTTCAGGTTCGAGCCCTAAAACAACCACTGCTCTGGTTAGGCCAGGGGTAGCCAAACTGCGGCCCTCCAGCTCTAGTGGAACTACAAATCCCATGAGGCATTGCAAGATTCTCGCAGCCACTCACTTGACTCCCGGAGAGAGATGCATCATGGGATTTGTAGTTTCACCACAGCTGGAGGGACAGAGTTTGGTTACCACTGGGTCAGGCTAACATAGTTTGGATTATTGGAAGATCGCTGGTTGAGTATAAAGGTCTTAAAACGCCCTTGAGATCATTCATTACAGCCTTTTAAATTAAAATGTTAGATTGGGAAGTCACTGAATGTAGTAATGTCGGCATCAATGGGTAGAGAGACTTTTCACTTAAGGAGTAGGGTCATGCATGATTCAACATAAAAATAAGACTCCCAGCACCACAGTATATGTACAGTCACCAGTCTGAGTGTCTTCTGTTTTACATGGTCCTTAACACTATGGCTGCAGCTAACAATTATTTTCATAATCGATTAGTTGCCGATTTATTTTTTCAACTATTTGATTGCATAAAAAAAAAATTGCTCGCTCTCCCCTTGCCCCCCAACCAACTAACAGATAGTAAGAATAGTTGCCAACTATTCTCATCGATTTTATTATCGATTTTAATTGATTAGTTGTTGCAGCTCTACTTTAACACCATTTTTCTCATTCCCTTAGTCATTAACAGTGTTTCTTTCCTTAGCTCATTGTTTTAAATCTAGTATTAAGAGATGGCCTTACAAAATAAATTTCTTCTATTTTGTTTCCTCACTTTGTCCCCTGCTTGCCTTTTTTTAGGCACAACTTCAAAATGACTAGCCACCAGTATTGCCTGTGGTCTACCTGCAGTTAATATGCCCCCAATTGCTGGCTTTCCTTGCATTGTTCCATACCTTCTGTGTGTGTGGTCAGTCATCTTGGTATAGGAGCAAGTCTTTGTTTCCATATGTCAGAGCTGTCCCCTGATTGGGGATCTAATGACGGGGCTAGGCAAGAAGAAGTAGCAGTAGAGGGTCACATAACACATCTATATAATGAATTAAGCGTTGCATGCAGTGCAGGTCCTCAGGTTCAGCTTCTTCTCCCACAAGCCCTCAGAAGAACATCAGACCACACAGTATTAACATCACCAAATCCAACCAGAGCCGGAGAGCAGTGCTTTAGGTGATCTCGTATCAAGGAAACATTTGTATTTATGTTTTTAGCATACTAATCAGGCAAATAGTTTATATATTCCCCTTTTTTTTTTTTTTTTTTGAGTATAGGTCCATTGAACTGTATCCATTCATGGAGAGAGTAAGTTTTTCAACATCTGTTATGTCAATGGGGTTCCAGAATTACAGTGTTGGTACAAGAAGGCCAATTGTCCTCACTGGAAATTTTTGAGTGATCATGACAACTGCTCTGAAACCCCCAGTTCTACTATCCCAGCTATTCAGTATCACTGGACCATGAATATGTGATGAACAAGTTATTTTATTGAGATTTTTGTATTTTTTTGTTGCACAGATAGGCCATCAAGATACATATGTTTTTACTTGTCTTGCTTACAGAGGCCATCTATTTACCTAAACTGTTACTATCCCACTCCTTTATGATTCTGATAAGTGTTTTTTAAACTACACTAATGCCACCACAGTATACTAATTTTGGGGATATGTAGAACACCAGTGAGGTGGAGTGTATTACATAATGTGGGCAGATCAGTTAAAGGGAAAGTATAGCAAGCGGAATTTATCAAAACCTGGGGCAGATGTTCTCACCAAAATCGGAGGAAAACGCAAGTCAACGGAGGGTCCATTGGCTTGGTTTCAACCTCCGTTGACTTCCATTTTGTTCCGTTGAGTGTTTTTTTTTGTTTTGTTTTTTTTTCCAATCCTTTACATTCACATGTCCTGAGTGGACAAACATCTATGTTTTTGTTTTTTACTTCCATTGCGTTGTGATTCCATCTGTTTTTATCTTACGCTGTGCTTTGTTTTTGTTTTTTTATTATTGTACTGCAACAGAACATATTGCAGAGCTGTGAACTGGTCCCTTTCACACCCATTAATTTTTCAGTGCCCTTGCGTTAGCATCTGTTTAATAACGGATTGCAACGCACCAGATCTGGTGTGAATGGGGCCGAAGGCTAAGCTCCAGGCAGATATAGAAGACGCATATTGTATTTTTTTTTAATTTTAATGCAGCTAGTGTAGGTACAGGATTTTGACTTGGAATTAGCCTCTTGCAATCTTTTACACAGTAGCACTCGGACTAGGAGAGTGGCAGGACTGGGAGCCAGTCAGGTGTCTGTATGCAAATGTGCTGATGAGGGACATGTAGATAGGGCAGTGTGAGTCATTAGCTGTGGAAATCTCAAAACAGGATGGACAGAATTACAAATACTGTGTCAGGTAAAATAACCACCGTGTATGTATTCCATATGTAATATTTGGCTGTTTGCCTTGAGTTCTGCTTTACGGTGTAGGTTTTATTTGTGTGTCGATGGGCCAATGCAGAATACTTTCATGTGAATTCAGTTTGTATTTAAGATCAGTTTGAGACCATTCTGAGCTTCTTTACAGCTTTTATTATGTACCACCAAAGCTGGGTCAGGATGCTTTTGTCTTCCCTTTGATTTGGAATGGGGGGAAGCAATTCTGATGCAGACCAATGCTTGTGTACACAAGCTCAACAATAGTAGTATAAAACTTAGATCTTTGACATCTGTTTATGTGCACCAAATGTTGGCCTATGACTGATTGGATTAAAAAACAAAATGGGGCACACAAACTCTAATGTGCATTAAAGCAAACCTAAATCATAAATGGGACTTAATTGTCTCAACTTGGTGGTTAACCTCTATAGGAAATAATACCATGTGATGTTAAAGTTCTCACATCTGTTTGGCGGCCTTGTGTTCATTGCTTCTCTGTGGGGCTACCCATACACTGCCCAGTGTTTACCCATAGTGTGTTTTATTTAAATCAATCGTTTGACCTCTACAGGAGAGAGTGTCTCCCATTTACTTTGATATGCATTGGGGTGGAAAGTGCTAATATTGTGAAGGGTTTCAGGTTTTAGACCAGGGGTAGCCTAACTTCAGCAATCCAGCTATTGTGGAAGTTCCATAAGGCATTGCAAGACTGTCATCTAAAGCTTGACCGGATTTGTAGTTTCAGCACAGCTGGGGGGCCGAAGTCTGGCTACCCTTGCTTTAGATCAACCCATAACATTTGTCTCAGCTCTTGCTTTCATTCTGATTGAATATAACAACTGCTGTAAATTTTTTTGCAGGTGGCGGTCCCTGACAGCCATTGGAACGCGAGTTCCAGGATCCCGGTTTATTGCCTTCAAAGTACCCCTGAAAGGGGTAAGTAAATGTTTGTGTGTTTTGAAAGATTTGACTTGACTCATAAGTGGTTTAAAGTGTTTGCAGGGGCAGCTGTAAACCTGCTCTCATTTTCCTGCTGCAGAACTGTGGTCCAATAAGTGAGGGTTTTACTTTTAGGCCCGTTTGCTAAAACGCTGCATTTTTTTGTGGCAGCTCAGGCAGTGTGCTTGGTATTGGCCATTGTCAGAGCTGTCACTGTTTTTACATTTTTTTTAAAAACTTTATTGGAGTGTACAATGTGTACATTCCATTCAGGTCACTGCCCAGCATTGCAGTTCGCTGCCCTGTGGTGGCATTCAGTGCGCTGCAAAATAATGCAGCATAACACCCACATTGTGGTGTGAACAGGTAACATAGAAAACAATTGTAAAGGTAAAGGGCTATATTTAGCCCTTAACTTTAGCCTTAAGCCACCCGCCATGGAACTGCATGGGTGTCGGGTGATAGGAATTCCACACCCCTGCAGAGGAATGTTGTTGGATTTACAGCAATGTCAAAATAGTGCTAGTACCGTTTCCATATGAGGTTGCCTTCTTACCTCCTAAAGCCTCCTCTCTGTGTCTAGGGACAACCATATCTCCCAATCCGGAAGTAATTATTCCATGGACAGACAACGGCCGCTGTCAGCCTGTCATTCACTTGAATGGGCTCCGTGTCCGAATCTGTACAAGATACACCTAGGATTCCTGCCGCAAGAATCTGCAGGTTATTGTCGCAGGAATCCCCAGCCTCACCTTCGAACACTGTGTGCATGAGGCCTAATAGTAGCTGAAGTGTATGAAATCAACTTTGGCAGCTACGGGGGGACAGTAGTGCTGATCGCTTCTGTTTAACGGGAAGTTCTTTAATATCCTGAGAGTGTCCATGGAATGATGGGTTATGGTTATACAATGTTTAATAAACAACGTTTCCATTGTAGGCCACAAACCAACGTGTGACACAGAACCAGAAATTTACCCCTAAAGATTTAGTCACCAACATTCGCAACCAAAACGAGGAACTTGGATTGATCTTAGATTTGACAAACACTGAGCGCTACTATACCACCAAGGTAAGGTTAATGTGTGTTTAATGTAGAGATGTACTGCATATGTTTTTTTCATTTTGCACGGGTTTTTTTAAGTGCACTAAAGGATTACCAAGTCCACTTATCATTTTGCCCCTATCCCCTGACCTAAACAATCCCACCCCCCTCCTCCACAGATGTATGCTTATCAAAATCCAACAGCTGTTGTCCTCTCCATGTGCATTATAGCCCTGTAGACCTCTGTAGCTTGTCTACCTTCGTCTCTTGCCCTGTTAAAGAGGTACTGCCCCATAGCAGTCTGGTGGGCTATAATGCGAAGGCAGGCCAGAAAAGAAGCACTAGATGTTAATCCATGGAGCCTGTGACTATTGAAGCTTTATAAATATGCTTTTTTCCGGGGAAGAGAGGGTTGGATCTGTTGGGTACACTTTGTTTTAATGTTAAATTATGCTTTAAAAGGCCCACTAAGTAAAAAATACTGTGTTCTAGTAACCTGTAATGATAGCATTCCTTTTTTTATTTGATACCTTTTTATTTATATTATACTCCTTATATCAGTTAGAAAACTAACTTGCTGCTGGAGATGTTTACAACGATCAAGTTCTATTCATACATATTAAACCTTTTTTCCCAAAAGAAGAAAAAACTAGTGTTGTAACTGGTTGAAAAAATGTTAGTTTTTTTTTGTAATGGAGCCTTCCTAGCATTGCAACTGCGATCAGTGCATTGCAGGTGTAATTCCCAGGCTTCTGCAGACTATTCCTCCCAGACCCTGTCCTTACCAAGGTATCAGTGGACTACAAGTGCGGTGAGATCATTGCACTTGTGCACCATTGAGAACTAAGGCTCCCTCTCTCACAGTGGCAGGCAGGATTTGTAGTCTCCTGTGAAAGGATCTGTCAACGGATGACACGGCTGTGCAGGTGGAGCCACTCACAGCCACACCAAATTCAAAAGATGCGTGGGTGTTGTGGGGAGAACAATCCTGATATTCAGATGAGATGGGGGCGGGGGCTTTTTGGATCTGACCATGTTTCATGGTACCCCTGAAGATGGCTGAAATGTGAAACATGGTCAGAAAGATGGAGTTACTCTCTCTAAAGTCCACTTATAGCCAACTAAGAATAACCTGTCAACACTGAAGTCATTTTACTGCAGAACAAACAGTGTTTTAAATCTGTAACATGAAACGGGAAAATCAACAAATCTACTGGCTTGCTGTAATAAAACAGTTACCGGAATTTGTCATTGTTACTTTTGATCATAGTTCTAATTTTTTAAATGGGTTCTGCATTCCTCATAGTCATTTGAATAATTGCAAACTCAGTGAGTGTACTGATGGAAATCATTTGAAGGAAGAGCTGCCAGACAAATTACTTTTTTCTTTTTCTTTGACGTTCTCTTAAAGGGAATATATAGTGGGTTTTGTACATATGTTTCTAGTAGTATTTGATTGATTGTAATTTTGTTTTAAAGGTACCTAGAGGCATGAGATAACATCTGACCCAAAACAGCCAGTTTGGGCAATAGTCATGTTTGAGGTTGCCTTGCAGGCACTGCTAGCTATCGGGGAAAAAAATACATCCCCATCACATGAATAAGAATGCTGGACTAAACCATTCTGCCAATCAGTAGGCCCCAAGGCAGCTTTGGGCATCTCCATTGCCGGTAAATTTAATTCTAGCCATTGGAGAGGGAATAGAGCAGGGTAGATGTGGTCCGGAACAGGTTTTCTTTCAAATATTTTTTTTATTATCCCTGAGCAGTCATTGTCTGTTAGTGCAATGTTGACAACCGGAATGTAGACAGTGATGAGCTATCGGACCATATATATATATATATATCTATATCTATATCACGGTTATGTAAGATTAAAGACTCTTACAGACGAGTGGTCTGATCAGGTCCGCCTGTCAGTTTTTCAGCTGGACCCGTTTGGACGCTGTATACAAGTCTATGGGCAGCCACGTTTAATTGGACAAGTGTCAGTTTACACCTGGTTAGCCCCGGCTCTGGCTTGGTCCGGTAAAACAGACGGATCGTTGATCCATTTTCACGTACAAGATCGTGCCGGACCAGAGGCAATCTGATGTAATTGGACACTTCTGTTTACATCAGATTCCCCACAGACAGACATGGGGTGCAGCACTTTCCGTTTTTCCCCCCTCTATTGCAAGATTGAGGGAAAAAACTGTACGGACACAGATGTCACATTGGTGACATCCGCTCTGTACTGCTCTGATCAAGGGGAAGATCTAATCCTTACACATTATAACCCTCTTGGTTTCTTCCCTATTTGTAAAGGATCTGCCTAGAAGTGTACAGTATATGAAACTACACACAGCAGGACTCAAAATCCCAGATGATGCAACAGTCCACCAGTTCAAGAGACTCGTCCGACAGTTTCTTTTTGCCAACGAAGATAATGGTAAGGCGAACTTCTGTATCTGGATCATTGATTAAGTCTGTGTGTGTATTTTGTACTGGGACTATGCACTTGGAGCTATTAGCTATGAAAACCTAAATAGAAATATTAGTTTTTATAAACAGTTAAAATACTTAGCAAATACTGGTGGGAAGTACAGATGACTGGTTATCCTGTGGAAGGACATCACACACCGTTTCTGCTGAGCCAGTTCTAGTGTGATGAATGCCGATAGCGTAGGGCACTACTCTTCATAGTAACGTTTCTGTATGGCTATTGGTTCCTGACTCATGCTGTATGTTGGTATTGTTTAATCAGTTGTACTTCTTGCTTCGATAACAGTCTGAGTACTCCTTATATTAAGCAAAAATTAAATGCATAAAAATAATTATGGAGACTGACTTGAACCTGTAATGATATTAATATGGGGGCGTCCAGTCTTAAAGGAGAACTTGGGGTAAGTGTTTTCCCCAACGGTCACGGAGGACATAAACTAGCGTCCTCCCATGACCCAAAGCTCAGTATGCTGCGAGCTACAGCTCGCGGTATACTGAGGCAGCCGCGACAGACCCCGACATTACTGTCGATCTACCCAGCTGCGTGAGTGACAGCTGGCTCTGCCTATCTAGAGGCAGAGCCAGCTGTACCCTCCCCCGTTCATTCCGCCAGTCAGCGCTGGAGGATCAAACAGAGGAGATGGGGAATCCCTGCAGGGAGCTGTGAGTGACAGTCACGGCTCTCTGCAGGGACAGGATCGAGAAGTGAGCGAGCGACGGTATGCGTTCGCTCACTTCCCAATCTATTGAGCTGACGTGTGACAGTCATTGTCACACGTCGGCTCGAACTATGAGGTTGAGTGAAAATCACTCACCTCATAGTTCTTTAATTTTAGAGAGCCCCTGTCACTAGACCATTTATGTCAACCACAATCTTCCCGTAAGATTATATAAACATTTAACATATTTTTGCATGTTATTTAAATGTAAAGACCATCCAAAACTGTTCAGATTGCGATGTCACTAGCTTCAGCAGACTGAGGTGACACTCCTATAGTATTCCATTTCACTTCCTGGCATCTTCATAAAAGGTTGTGTAGGGATCTGAGGGACAGAGGAGCTCGGTCAGCACAGGGTTAATTGGTCCCTCACAGAGGAGAAGAGGGCTATGACATAAAAGGAGAGGGCTATGCGACGGTATTAACACTTTCTGGAGTGTCCGTTCCATAGCCCGCTCAATGGAACATTGCAAGTGAATGGAAAGAAAAAATGCTGCAAGTAAGTATTTAAGTACTTCATCTTTGTGTTTTTACCTGACGTTTATTAAGGTGGCAACAGGGTCTCTTTAAAGGTGCAAGGTCCAGTGTTGTCGTCTTTATCCTGGCTTTACTGCCCATTAAGTTAGTGACTTGACGGAGGCACACAGGAGTTTAGACTTTGTAGACTTTTTTTTATTTTGTGCTGGCATTGCCAAGCCTATGAGCAGTGGAACAAATCAGAGCCATGTGACATTCCTCCATCGACGCTGAACTGTGTGGGTGGAGGAATCTCCCGCTGGACCAAGCTTCAGTATCTTGCTAGTCAGCCCCACTGGCTCTCAACCTGAACAATCTGATTGGATGCAGGCATTGTTTAGGTATTTTGAGAGCCAGTGGTGCTGACCAGCAAGATACTGAAGCTTGGCCCAGTGTGAGATTCCTCCATACACACAGTTGAGCGTAGATGGAGGAATCTGTTGCACTTTTTCCATCTGACCATAGAAAATCTACAGATAATCTATAGGTGTATGACCAGCTTTAGGTAGGCAAATGTCCTTCCTGGTATCCTAAGCAAAAAACAGCATTTAACCCTTGTAGTGCAGGGTGAGCCCCACTGCTAGGTTATTTCTCCCCCCCCCCTCCTAGAGTTCAGCTTTAAAATGAAACTCATTAGCAATCATAGTTCTTCCCACTTCCAGCAGCGTTGCCATGGAAATAACTAGTGCACATATAAAATAAACTTGCATTAATATATTTTCATTTCTTGCGGCAGATAAACTAATTGGCGTTCACTGCACAACCGGGATTAACAGGACAGGATATCTGATATGCAGGTAACCGATGCATTGTTCTTCAATGGATTCGTTTTTATTTAGAACAGCGTTGTTTGTTTGATTTCTCTTCTAAAGTTTCTTTAAGCCTAAGAACAAAAATGTAATATTTTCAGTTTCCAAATCCTTAGATGTGGTGGCTTCATTAGATTTATTTTTCAGGCTCTTCTGCTTTATTTTCACCTGGTGATCCTGCCAGTAACGCACTTCTTGTTCTAGGGTACCAGCATTCACTTGTTGTACTGTATATATGAAGAAGAAGCATTGTCACCCTAAAATAGAAAGTGTTAAAACATGTGAATGGCCAAACCTTAATTTTTTGTGATAGAGCGTGGAAGGGTTACAACCCCTGTCAAGGTTTTCATTATTGTCCCTGCTGGGGAGACTCGCCCCCTCTATTTGTCCTGATGACCTTTATCACTTAGTCAGAAAGTGATTTTACAGTTGTCACTAAAAACTAGCCATGATGGTGAATATTCCCATGAGGACACCTGTTCCTTAAAGAGAGCAAGTAAAAGAAGTTCATTGTTGGTGTTTGCATACACTTTATATATTTGCTATTAATGCATCTTTGTTGCTATTTTCAGGTACTTGATAGATGTAGATGGGTGGCGACCCCTGCAAGCACTAACTGGTAAGTATGATTATATATATATATATATA